AAAGCCCCCTACAACCCCCCAAAACCTTTTAAAATTCCCTACAACCCCTAAAGCCCCTAAAGTACAATTGTTGCTGCATGCTTGAGGCTCCACACGGTCGCGATGCTATGCTAAGCATGCTAGGCCCCCTTTCCAAAGCACAGTAGCCTTTCTCGGGCCTTGTTCACGGTCCATGTTAGTTTGCAGGGTGCAGGGTGTAATGGGCTTCAGGGATTGAACCAGACATGAGGGAACTGAGGGTTTCCGACCATCGAGTTCTCCCTTTCCGGGGCTCAAAGCCAGCATCCTTCTTCTTTGGACCCTCAAAAAAGGGGGGGCCCTAATTTCTGGAAACCCCCAGATGCCAGCGCTCAAGCACTTGCTTCAACGTCCCAGGCCCCACACCCTGTAGCCCTGAAGCCAGCAGCATACCTTCTCCAAGCCTACATGATTGGGGCGTAGGGAAAATGACCCCCACAATAGAGAATCAAACGGAACAGAGAATGGACGATGCGATGGAAACTGATGTTATAAAGTGTGCTAGAGAGATTAGGATAGCCTCGAATTTGGGGGCAGGATGGTGCCCAATGTACAGAAAGACGATATCTTGCTCTTGGATGTCGTATTCATAAGAAGAATAGGATCTTAGGTGATTCAACCAGAAAAAAGCCACGCAAATGATTCAGAAATGAGGGTTCCCTTTCGGGGAGTTTCTTTAAAATTGACACCTGATGCTTTGCTCTGCCCAAACTAACGTGGCACCCAAAATATTAGTGCTATATTGGGCATATATTGGAAAGAACATGGAAACTACTGCAGTATAATAAGGTATATATTGGGGTGATATTGGGATACTGGAAAAGACAATGGAAACGGCTATAATAGGGTTTAGGATTTGGATTGGCTGTAGTGTTTGCAGCCCCTTGTTTGGGGTTCTGAGTAGGGTATATTTACCTGGGTAGCTTTGCTGTTGGATCTCTTACTTTGAATTGTCAAGGCCATGTTGTTAGTGCGGGCTTGCGGGAACTGCTCATGGAGGGTTCCCGTCAGGTTACTTAAAGATTGCTCAGGGTTCCGCCCGGTAAGTCCGTAGCCGACTGAAACATGTCCTTAAGCAGGATGGGTGCAAGGGGAAACTACTGAGTCGCCATAGGGATCCTGAAAGACAACTTGATCGTACCCAGCCCCTTCCCACCTTAGAATTTATTTGCTAAGCAACAGGTACGTGGATTCCTTTCAAGCTTCAGACCACTACCAGGCCTCAGAGAGTAGAATCTGGGTTTGTGTGGTCGGGTTTCTAGGGTTCCTGAAGATGGCAGCCAATTAGCGACACATGCCCTGAATGGGTTACCCATTAGGGGTTGTATTGGGGGTATATTACAACGGCTGGGACGCAGTGCAGTGAAAGTCAGGTGGAGAATACCAATGCCATGTCCGGAGTCAAGTACAACAAACATGACGGCAAGCACTATGTCACAGCAATGGCACAAAAGCTGCTTATTTTACACAACTCTTAATTTGCAAAATCTTTCATGAAGCTGAAAATACTATACTGCGCAAAATATGATAGTTTCCCAAAATCAGGGGACCCCAATATAGACCCTCATATACTACAGTCCTTATTATGGGGACCCCCAAAAGGGTACCCTAATTCTGGGAAACCCCATATAGGGTCTTCAGGCTTTCTCACCATCATTGCCCGCTGCCGGAAGAATTGTAAACAGTTCCCTAAGTAAGGTCCTTTAACACGAGCACCAGTAGAGTAAGGGTTTAGGGTTTAGGGTTTAATAGTGTACCCCAAAGGTAGATGGAGGACGTCTTGCACCACTGAGGATTCCCAGAATACTAGAATTATTGGGGTATAAGGTATATAACTTGTTGCAAGATTTCCTCCATCTGAAGAAGCTCCCCATCTGTTCACTAAGGCCCCTACATGACCCTGTCTGCCCCAAAACTGGTAGCCGGCTGAGCAACAGTTATCTCGTAAGGGTAAGCATTAAACAACACTAAGCAAATACCACGGCCAAGCAGTTGCCGCAACGCTATATTGCTACAGTCTCAAGAAATTCTTCCTGCCGATTCTTTCATCGAGTAGGTTTTCAGGGGGGCAAATAGGACAGATGTTCCTTTAAAAGAACACTTTCGAAGGAGTGCTCTGAAGGGACCCGTCCTATCTCTTCGCAAATCTTCTCCAACAAGTGAATTGATCGTTGCTACTCCTGGCCTTTCTTGCTGATCTTGCGCAGCTTCACTCGTGGGGCTTCGGGTCGACAAGAAAGCCTGAGCCGCCCCAACATTCTTTAAGACCCCGGACCCATTCTTGAAGTATAATTGAATTGAGGTCGTATAGACTCCCTGGATCCCCTTGAAGAGCCCTAACTTCAGATTTGATTCCGGCTCTCATTTCGAAGTGAACAAACACGTGAGCTGGCAACCTCGACCCCTACCATGAGGACCCTATAAGTGTCATGTGCCAGTCACGGGGTCCTTATTTGGGGGGCTGGGGTCACCAGAGTCCGCTTCAGAGGTGGCACTGCTTTCTCTCACGGCTTGCTCTCAGGGCTTCACGCCACTGGCTGGCAGCGATACGGAATGGGGCTGTCCTCAAATTAGGGGTACCTCTGTGGGGGTCCCATAATAAAGATTATGGTATATTGGGTCTATATTGGGATCCCCTTTATTTTCGGACACTACCATACAGGTTTGGGGGGTCACTCTAGAGGGGGGGGAAGGGCTCCAGCGCCGTAGTTTTCATAATAACGATGATGATCTTCCATTACTCCTGACCATAGTCCAGCATTGTCTTGGGAATCAGAATCGCAAAGCAGCAGCACTTCTTGACTGCTATCAATTGTTACTGTCTCACCGCGTAACTGTCAGGTTTCTGGTGTGCGAATGAAGGGCTTAGGCATTGGAGACTTGCGACTGCACCTTCCGATGCTCTGGCAAAGCCTCAACACCCCAGATTCTATGAGATACGGCATATCAGGAACCTGAGGGTTCAGGGTTAAATGCCAGATTCCTCCCTCCCCAGTATTTTGGCTGCTCAAAGTCTTACTGCTTGTGACGCAGCAATGGAGGGATTGGATCAGCGTCTAAATCAGTCAAACATTTAGCGGTTTCCATGTCTTTCCATCCCTGAACCCTAACCCCTTATGCTAGCTTCCTTGTTCCTCCCAATTCCTTCATCTCCCTCTAACAACCAGCAACAAGAACGTGAGTAGCAGCAGCTGGGACGCATTCCCTAAACCCTAAACCAGTCCTAGACCCTACACCCGAATGTTGCATGTTTCCGGGCTTAGGTTTTAGGGTTGTAGTAGGTCAGGCTGATGAGTTGGTTCCAAGGGTTCAGAACGTCATCTCAAAACCGGGCGCAAAGAGACAGATCTTGATGAGGTCATCCCATGTTTGGGGTCGCCTAGGAGACGGTCCTTCCAAAAACCGATAGCAGCTGTATGATACTACAACTGTTGCCATATTCTCTAGGAATAAGATGCTTTGGGTGATGCAGGATTCTTACTAGGCATTGTACGCCTCAGTTACGTAGTGGGACTTGCTGTCTTTTTCAGAAAATGTCACGTGTGCTGGGGCTTGCCGTCAGGCCAGTCCGATTACTTACCGAATCCTCTGACAGGGATCCACAGGTCTTCCGAGACATGCTCGGCACTCCAATGCAACCTGCTTCTCCCATCAGCCAAGATTAGGACCTTCCCTTTCTACTTCATTGACCATTATATTAGAACGTAACCCCAATACCCCAGTCCAAGCATTTAGGCCGCCACGCTACAAGATCCCAAAGTATAGGCCCAACCTAGACCCTGTTTCCATTTTGTTGCCGTTGGGCTCTACTTCTGTAGGCACAAAGTCTGTTGGTTTTTCTTCAGATTCGAGCCTCAGTCCTGATGCTAGGATGTATCAGTAATACTCCCTTACAACCCACATAGTAGATACGTATATAGGTATACACATGGGAGGTTGTCAAGATTATGGCCCTTTTGGGGTACCCTAGATATTAGGTGCCGTATTATAATAGGGATCCAAAAAGGGACCATAATTTTGACAACCACCCACATACAAAACACTATAGGACAACAGACCTGAAGCCTGCCCTCATTGAACATCAGGCTCAGTGCAGCCTCCCTGGTGGTCTTTGCGGAGCCATGTGTACTGGGTTGCTGTTAAGGAACTGGAACTAAGTGACCTCGATATGAGCTATAGTCTAAACTCCGTAAAGAGGGTTATATAGGGGATTGTATAGGGGACTATTATAGGGGTTATGAAGGGGGATACTAGGAGTTTGGGTTATATCTCACATGGATATATGGGAAAAGGAGGGTTTCCGAGTCATGGAAGTTTGATGTAAACTCCCGAACAACAACTGCCCGGTCAAGGGTGCAGGGCTTGCGTTTCAGGAAGTCGTCGGGTTCGGGAAGCCAGTATGCAGTGTTCTGGATTCCGGCATGAGTTTGCTGACATCTGCTACTTGTAGAGTTTGTTGCCGCCCTTGACGTGGCTGAGCAAGACCCATAAACGCCTAATTTCCCGTAATTGGATGAGGTCTGTGTCGCCAAACTAGGCATTGTCATCAGCGCGTGTGGGAAGAAAGCTGCGTGTATAAGAAGAATCTGCAGGCCGCTCATTGAAAGACCCGTCTTAGCATGATAGTTACGTTTATTAGCGAACCTGAGATGTTAGCCTGTGAGACATTCTGGGCTGAAAGTGAAGGCATCCACTCACTCTCTGTCCAACTCCTACAAACGCTGCTGCCTTCTGCTCAGCGCTCCCGAGCCCGTAATGAATCCTGAACAAAGAGCGTTCCTTCCAAGCCTTGCCATCTGAATCAACCTTATAGCATCCCGATGAGTCTTATGGATAGCCGTACACACATGAGGTAGTTTCCCAAAAGGGTACCTTTATAGGGGCCCCAATAATCAGGATTATAGTATTTGGGGGTCTATATTGGGGTCCCCTTATTTTTGGAAATTTACTAAACCCTAAACCCTAAACCCTAAACCCATGAGATGTTACTGCATGGCAAGGAGCTGTTTTGGGTTCCTGGTATACTTCTGCAAGCGGAGGTGGGGAATGATAAGACTTGGAGGTAGGAGGGCTTCTGGGGATTTTTAAACCTTAGGTGGACCCCCCCACCCTGTAATAGTGACTAGATTATATTAGGGTCCTACTATATTCCTATTATGCCACTATTGCAGGGTGCGGGGGGATCCTCCAGATTTAGACCGTTCGGAAATTCATGGTGAAGGACGCTCCCATGGTTTGGCTACAGTTTCTTGGGATCTCGAAGGGCTGTATGGCTTTCGGCCATGTAAGCTTTTGCGGGTACAAGCAGTGAGGCTGTGATTGCTGAACATTCTACAGGGTTGCTGTTAAGGGACACATTTTAAGGTACTATACTGGGGAAACCCTATCATTTACTACGTATATGTACACCCAGTATGGTAACTTAATTTAAGTTCCTTAACAGCAAATGTGTCTGATTTCGTGCTGTGCCGCGCAAGCTTGACAGTTTCTCTTTTTTTGCTTCACATAAGAAAGGCGCAGCTAGGCTTCCTCCAGAGCACATAGCTCCATCGATGTTTTGGGTGACGTACCGTTGGTGTGGGTCAACTTATGACTGTGCGCCAAAGCCTTCATCAGCCCGCTTCTCAGGGACCCCACTGCAGTCCTCCACAAGAGGATCCCCCCAGACTAGCTACAACTTGTGACTCTCCAGAGCCCTAGCTGAGATCCTGTAGGCGGCCAGAAACGCGCAAAATTTTAGCATTTTTTATGTGCGCGGAAAACACAAGGCATGGAAGGCCCAAGCCCATGGCTGCTTATGAAAAATCAGCGTCTGCGTTGCATAGGTCGTCTCAGGAAGAGTGTCAGTAAAACCACCCCATTGCTTCTAGACCCAAAGAAGGTTAGACATTGTGGTGTGTCAAGCGGCTCGCAGAATAAAAAGTTGGCACCCAACGTTGCAGTACCACATGTGCAGCGCAGTCAAGACTGCATGGGGGTTGGCCTTATCTACCGCACGTAGAATCGTAGAAGGATCCTTACTCTAGTCTAGCGATACCCTCAGACGGAAGCACAAGTTTCAGAAGCTCCCATAAGTACGGACTGCCAACTTCTGCCTTGGAGAATCCTTGTGACTGGTAGTACTCACTTGGAGGCGAATCATACACCATCCCCGGCACAGGATGCACCATTGCAGTCAAGTCCAATGAAACCATCACCGGCCCAACTGGATCAGACGTCAACCTTTCTTACTGGGGCTCACTACAAAATGAAGGAATCTACTGTTGTATGGGGGAGTATATACGGATTGTATTCCCGAACCAGTAAGCGTGTCAATCCACCTTGATGAAATCACAACCCCGAAGGGTCCAAGTATTTAATTATCAGACACTTACCCCAAACCTGACAATTAGTATTACCCAAAACCCAAGTACCTAGTTGTTGGGTACTTGGACCCTAAACCCGCATATACCCTTATATACCCTTATATATCCCGTGTATATCCCCGTTGAAGGGACCTAATTATTGGGTAGCCCACACGAAGTTACACAGTTTCGAGCCTCAGGATAGAGCCCATCGCCTGGGCCAGGCCACCAGTTGTGAAAATGCCACAGGCTAGCGTCAGAGGGCTCAAAAGGTAGGGTGTAGGAAATAAGCCCCGATATAGTAGAGTATCTACTAGGGATCCTTGAAGCCATCTACCTTCATCCCACCTTTTGAGCCCCCGATACTGTGCGTAGCTGATTCCATAGATTGGGGTATACGTGTCTAGGCTGTAGCCTACGCAATGTCTGAAGCCAAATTCGGGATCCAAAATGGGGCGGTGTATTGGGAGTCACCAGAAAAAAGTTACATAGGGATTGATATCGGGGACCCTTTTCATGGAAACTAGAAAGTCGGGGAAGGTCCTCAGCAGTGGAGAAATTGTCAGCTTTCGAGACCTGTCACCCCATTTTCGAAGGGCCCACAGAGAAAGTTTGAACCCCAAAAATAGGTAGAATAATTGTCATTTGGGCTGTTCTTAGGCATTTTGGTCTACCAGTTCACTTACCATTTGGCCCAGGTAGATTTGACTATGCAGCACATTTTTGAGTTGTGTCGTGAAATCGCGGTGCAGACATGATGCCAATCGACCGGGAGTGTTTTGACAGTGATCATAAAGCTGGCAAGATTAGGCAGCAACTGGTCAATGCCAAGCAGTTTTAGGGACGGCACCGCATTCTTCCCTTCGCCGAAACTTCCGGAAGGCGAACATGGTGGATGTTCACTACTTGGTGGCGCCTGGAACGGACACTGGGCCCAACACAGAGTACCCTTAATGAAGAGTCTTTAGGAATTACCATTATTATTCCCCTCTAGCCCTTTCGTTTTTACAGTAGAACCTCCACCCCAAAATCTAGCTTCAATTCAGTATCCTCGTGTTCATAGTATCTAGGCCCCCACATTTCCATTCATGGCCTCGGGAGCACCGGTAGGGCATGTATGGGGGGAAGGGCCCTTTGGGTCTCTAAGTTAGGCCAAGAGTGCCTGCAACTAGGTTTTATGGCACTAGTGATGTGTATGTGTATGTGTATACAAGGTACCTTACTATCTGGGGTTCCCCATCATTAGGCTCTGCTGCTGAGGTCTGAAGTGAAGAATAAGCAGTTTGAGGGATGTATCGGCAAAAGGGGGGGGGTGCTACCAAGTACTTCCCCCCATCCATGAACAGTTGGGTAATATTTGTAATGTAACTATATAGAGCCTTAATTAATATGACCCCTATTATATACTGTTAATGGGTGGGGGCAGGACACAATGTAAACCCCTGACCACGAAGCCCGATCATTTCAAACCATACATGGGATACAGAAGTCTCTGGGAATTAGGACTTCCTGTTGGGGCGCCCTCTGCCAAGAATAAATTCAGGGCGTGCATTGGGCGGCCTCAGCTTTCAGACGTCCATATCCTTTTGAGCCATACAACTTCCCTAGGGATCCAGATAGCCCAACGTAGGTAATGTTTACAGATTTTGGGGCCCAACGTAGGTATTATCTGTATACTTGCATCCCAAGGGAGTAATATAGGGATAAGGGAAAAGAAAATGGAAGCTACTATAGCATATTTGGGTTATATTAATTACTTGTATGCTGGGATCCCTAGGGTCTGGCATCATCTAGATCCAACTCGAAGGTCGACGAGCGGATGTTTGCCGCCGTCGAGCGCCGCGCGCGCGACGCAGATGCGGCGGTGGATGGCGCTGCAGCGAAGCCATCTAGAGGAGAAGGCACGCTCAATATAGAAGCTAGAAGCCTGAATAATCACCCTTACTATTGTTGTAGATTCCTAGTCGTATATTTATACTCTAGGGGTACTTCAAATAGACTGCAACATGATATTGGAATCATGGCGATTAGTAGGTAAAGGAGGAGTGAAGCCCTGTAGTCCTCCTTTAAGCATTCAGGGCTTCGGTAACCGCAACAGGTTATCGTCCTTTTAGTACATGCTAAGGTTGTCGTTCCTGTTGGGGACCAGGTGTAGAGTACCGACATACATAGATGGGTCTACGTGGGCTAGGATTTAGGGTGTAGAGCGTGTGGATGGATCCACAGGTGCTACATGGGGGGAAGATGTTTCAGAGCCATTTTTTGAGGCATCAGGGCACAAGAGTTTTTGGCATTACTGTTGAGTGCAAAGGATCTCAAACAGCCATCGACAGCAGCTTGAGGGTTCCTTGGAGGGGCCGATGAGAGAAACCCATAGTCGCTCTAGCCCCGCTTCCATACATAATTCCACAAAAAATAAGGTACCTTATTGAGGTCCCTAGAATAAGTAGGAATTTAGCATTTGGGGTGTAAATCAGGGTCCCCGTATTTAGGGAAACTGCCACGGTTCATATACAAACCATTGTACTTTATTCCCTACTGGAGGTACCTCGGCATGTCAGGACAACTTGGGGATTTGGTCTTGTGGCTCACGGACTTACTAACAACCAGTAACGCGGTTTAGGTGTAGGGTAAGTTTTGAGGATGGTAGGTTAGATGATATAGGGATATTTAGGAAAATTTGGGGGCTTGGGATTGGGATTACCTTATGGATTTGCATACTGGCATACATGTCACCTCAGAAGCATATAACTACAATCAACAGTAAGTTCGCTGGCAAAATTCCCAGTATGAGGCGTGGCTCTCCTGTCACATTCTTGGTATTGTGCTTGTCATGTGGGCACCACGAAATCTCACGTCCTCCAGTTCTGCAACGATTACTGATACTGGCTGTAACAAAACATATCATGCTGCAGTATACTACCTGAGAGCCCTTCTGTACTCACCAGGTCTTCCTAGCAACTATGTAACCCCGATTAGAAGATGGAAGTTTCCATTTTCTTGTCCATTATTCCTAGAACCCTCATATAACCCTTGTATAATGCCTCCTATACTTGACCCTTAGAGTGTAGGCCATGCAGCAAGGGTCCTGTGCTTTGACAGGCATCCTCGGCGCAACAGTGGTGGAGAAGGATGTCGCCGTTGAGGAGGTGGCCAAAGGAGAGAAGGGTTTGGGCTTGATACCCTCAATCCTGAGCCCCAAACACAAAGTCCTAAACCCTGGACCCTGAAACCCTGATTGTGCAGTTGGTCTGCTGGCTTGCTAGAAGCATTATTGGGGCTATGCAGGATGGGGCAAGAGATCCTGCATCCACATTAGCATGCGGAGTTACACGTGCTTCCGGAGGTATGTCAATGTTTCTTTTGTTTGGACATATCGGTATTGTGCATGTTGGTGAAAACCTCAGGCAACTAACGGTGTAGAACTACAGGCTGATGAATCCTTTCTATTCACCTCAATGAACATGGAACCCTGTAGAACTTGAAAGGGCCCCTACTAGACTATTGACTGTTGTCCCCTGTAGATGGAGGTTACATGGGGTTGCATGCTTGCTCGCGGACGCGGGCTCCAGGGATGCGCCTTCAGGGCCTACTTGGAGGTCCGTTTTGCTTATAACCTACTTAGTAACTGTACTTATAACCCAACTATATGTAGCGTAACTGTAGTTATGGGCTTACTATTAGGTCATAAATAAAGTTTCTAAGTAGGTTATAAGTACAACGGACCTCCAAGTACCAATTGTTTGACGGGCCTAAACCCAACTACCTTTGACAGGAGGTGGTGAGAGACCTGATTGTTTTACAACTTGGGTGTATGGAGCAAGTCTGGCGTCAATTTGGGGGCTTGTTGGCCCTTTGCCACTCGCACGTAGCCTCATTGGACCCAATTCTGCCTATCAGATTGAATTTCCGAGGCAGAGTCCAAAAAGGTTCCCATGCGTCAAGAAAAGGCTCAAGGGTTGGGCTTCAAAAAAGGGAGGGAAAACAATGTGTCAGAGAACATTGCTAGGCTAGAATTGGGACCAATAAGCCTTCAACACCCGCCCAAGGCTTTCAACATGAACCTTGCTCAACAACTCGAAACCCCAAACCTTAACCCCAAACCCAGGAGCCAAACGCAAGCAGCCAGCCGCCGACGATGACGATCTCGAGCTGGTTGGCGCAAAGCGCACCACTCGACCCTTCATGTGGGCCCAAAAGCTCGCGTTGAGGGATTAGGGATTGAGGGAAAATAAATATGAATATATTATATGAATAAAGATCAACCTATAAACAACGGCAGCTATAAAAAAACAATAAAAAGATCTATTGATCCATTTAATGAAATGATTTTCGGATATTATGAAAATATCGGGGATTGGATAGATATATATGCACGTCGAGAATTCGATCTAAAATTTCGGCTCAAGCCCGCGAATTCTAGATTAAGAGATATATAAATTCAAAAATGATATTAATAAAGATATCTATAGTCATTTGATATGCATAATATATCTATTTTATATAGTTTTCTCGAAATAATTATATAATCTAAAATATGATTTTAACTACTAATTATGGTAGATTAGTCGATTACCTATAGATATTTTTATATTTCATTCATAAGATGATAGAAATTGAAAAATTTCGAATTGATTTAATATTCTATTATGAAATTTTATTGATTCTTGATTCTCTTAATTGAATGATATTTAGATATTCATATAAATATATATATAGATCGAATTAATTATATTTATTGATTTTATCTCGTTATTTCGGTAAGATCTTCACTTATTGAATTTTTTTTATAAAAATATTATATGATATATTTATAATCTATAATCTCTTTATGATAAGAAGGTGAAAAAAATCTTATAAAATCGCGTTGCTTTAGAGATGGGAATGGCTAGATATTAGGATTTGGTCTCTTTTTTTGGTTCGACTTGTCGAAAGAGATGAATTTTCGTTGCGTCGTATATCTTGATGACGTAGCCGCGTCTTGTGCAGATATTCAGAAACCATGCGGAAGGGCTGATTGATTTCGATGAACTCGCAGGCATGGCAATACCCAAGATGCAAGATTGGCAGAATATGATATCTTATCTCCATATTGGCTCGTATAAAATTTACGCAATGCAAGGCAGTAGCGAAGGCAGGCAATGAGGGAAGATAGAGAATGAATAGGATAAATAGGTCATTGTCGCTTCTATTAAAATATCTTTGTGTCAGAGGATGAGTAGTCAAATATTGTTTCTTGCGAGTCTTAAAAAATTCTTTCGAATCTTAAAATTAATACGAGATTGCCGTTTATGATTTATAGATTGAGGTCCTTTATCTCCAAAATTGCCAGGATGAAATCATGACGAAATAAACATGAATAAATAGGTCAATATCAATTTTCTACGCCATCTCATCAATTTGAATTACGGATTTCATTCATAAACGAACGCAAAAAAAAATCTGCTTGAAACCATACGTCGTCTTCGGCTATATTTAGAGCAATCCCACGCCATCGAATCCAGAAATGAAATATGTCTGAGAATTCTATAGTCAATGGGACCAACTCATATTAAAATATTAAATCTAGATATATCTGGGGTCGAAGACGTGAAGCTGGCGCGACCTGATTTCTTCAATTATCGTCGCAATATTGATCATTCCTGCGGCATATCTGGTTTCTCCCAAGCTTTGATTTACAAGTTTCTTCTTGCGTTCCCATTTTTCGATTTTATATAAACGTCAGAATCGTCCCAAGCTTTTGATTCAAAGAATATTCGACCCGATTTATGTAAGCCGCATATAGATAAAGTCCAAATCAACAATTTGGCATATAACGTATTTAGAAGCGTGCATTCGAGCGTTCGTTTTTTCTATGATTTATCAATGCCTAGATTTGCCGAAGCAGACGGCCTACGCTGGACCGTGACAATTCGGATATCGTGTTGACAAACCTTTCCAATTTGCTAACGAAATTGCGTACGTTCAGGCGCTGATTAAGTTCGAATTCGTCAATGAATTCGTCAATTCGTCAATTCTTCAATAATGAATTCGTCAATTATTGACGAATTCCTTCTTATTTCGCTTTTCAATTTCGTCAATAATTGACGAATTTTTTTCTATTGACGAACTGGTTGGGATTATTGACGATCCTATTTATTTTGAATTGTTATCTTACCGCTCAGAAGGATTATCAATGCGTCCGCGGATTGTTCGCCAATTGATGATTTACCGTCTTTTTATTGGATGAGCTTTCCGTTTGTTATTTCCATTTCGTAAGCTTTTGACCGTCTGCGCCAGCCGCTCAGCAAACAGCGGTTTGGGAGCGCTGAAAAGTGGATAAGCCTTCGCATAACAATAATTCTATCCCTCAGAGCAGGTCAATCTAGAATCTTTGACGGAATGACATCAGACATTATTCCAGACGGACAGCTATGTAATATATTCTGTTTGGAAATGAAAATGGGCTTAGGGGCGAAGCGCTGCACTCCTTGATTTCTTTCATGATGTTCTCGCTGCAGATTTGTCACTTTGCCTGGATCATGCTTTGCATATGGGCAAGCTACAGATATTTGGGACTCCTGAAGCGTGCGACATGGTTGACGGGAGCGTTGAGATCAAGTGTTGGGTGCTTGTGGACTGATAACCGCAAACCGTGGCAATGTACAGCTGCTCTGTATCCATGCAACGTCAAATCTTCAGCAACAGCACGTGGACATGGCATGTGTGTTATAGAGCTACACAAAGCGGTAGTCTGAGATTCTGGGTAATAAGAAGGTCGTAGGAGTAATATTTTTTTCATGCAATATCTCAGGACAGGTTGCTTTGGAAGCGGCTGACTGTACAATGGCGATAATTCGATAACTCTAAAAATTTCTGGAAATCATGGGCCCAAGCCCGCATCCAACATCAATGCTACTGGGCTAATGCTCCCAGCCTTCCTTTTTCAAGCCATGCTTCTATTTAAACCTAATCAACCCTAGATCTCGTCATTGTGGAGGCGCCATTCTACAAGCAAGGTGCCCTCCCATTTTGATCAGCAACACGATTTTTTTCCAAGCTCAAGATTTGAATCGTTGTTGCGTGCTGTACGCACACGTTCGTCTCAGATTGTCGCGCAAAACCCTTAGTCTTTAGTTCAATTTCATCGCTCTAGTCGATTTTCTTCAAAATCTGCGCAGTGCTTTTGACCCTTCACGTCGCCTTGCCAACAAGTCATCTTTGGATAGCAACCTCCAGCCTAAAGATGAATCATCGTCTCTTATGATATTTCAGATTTGCGCATTTTGTTAATATCAAAGATACGAAAAGCCCGAAGAATGTTATTTCGTCAATTTGCAAAGTCAAGCCTAAGCCTGTTTTTTCCGTGAATATATCCATGTGGGTCCTGCAAGCCTGCTTACGGCCATCAAATACCACTGCGCAATCGTTCGATATTTTTCTGAAGCCGCTCGGGCCCCAACCAGCCCGAATAACATCCACCCGTATTATATTTATATTCTGAAATTAATTGATATTTCAATTTTCTGTTTTTTGAATATATTTCATGAGAAGGAGATCGAATATATCGCCTGATTATGGATATATGATGATAGATATCTAAGATATTTATGAAAAAAAATTCTGTCGCCGAATAATATTTAAAACTTCAATATTTCGTGGGAGAATAAATAGATGCTCTCAATTTCGGGGAGAAGAAGGAAATCTTGTTATTCAAGAATTTTGAGGAATAATCTCTACGATCATTTGATAGGATAAGATGATAATATCGGTAATATTACAGAATTATTCTAATGGAATTCCGTCTTAGAGAAATTCTTTTATTTATATATTATTTGTCATATCTGATTTGATTTGGCATTTAAGAATTATTCAAAAAAGGTAGAATAATTTCTAGAAGAAAGATCTAATCGAAATAGAATTTCAGAAAAAAAGATTAGAAATTTCCTTGAATTCTAGTTCGTCTATATATTGAATAATGATTGATATCATATTAGAAGATAATCGAGATTCGATCTTTCGATATAAATCGAATACGTCGAATTGGATCATAGATTGCCTTGCAAAACGAATCTAGAATGATTGAATCTTCTTCTTTCATATATGCGTATTAACAAAGGAATTAAATCTAATCCCTTCTTCGCGATACATAGACGATTTTCTTGAACTTATTAACAAATATATGATCTTCTATAATAAAAATGATTTCTCGCAAATCGGGATAGGGAGCTAATAATTTTCAGATTATTTGATAGATAAATTGAATATATATTAATGAAATAAATTAGATAATTTCTAAAAAATATTAGATCATTAGAATGAGAAATTGATAGATTCGATAGAAGATAGATAATCCTATCAAGATTCATAATCCGTGAATCTGATAATTCATCAATTCATCGAGATGACTATTTGGAATATAGAGAGATTGATAGATCGATCTTCTGATTGATTATCCGTCCTTCCGATTCATTGATAAGTTATATTATCTTTATATGAGATCTTTCTTATTTATTTCATATATATTAACTTTTCATAGAATTTACATATATTATCGAAATCAATCTTAATATCTCATAATTTGTTATCGGAAATATATTAAATTATATCGTAATATCATAAAATATTCAGCTTATATATAATATTATATAGATTATCGAATTGATATATAAGATATATCTATTTGAGAGAGAATGGCAAATATCTAAATATAGGTTTAGCCGATCTAAAATTTTCGCCAATTATATATAATCATTTATCTTCCAGAGAGATTCCGGCGCTCCAATAGAAAGAGGAGCACGCCCCGCGCTAATGATGAAATAGATGAAGAGATATATAGAGGGAGATATCTGAAATTATGATAGAAAGAAATCATATCTGAAATATATCGAGATATCTGAATTCTATTTCCAAATTATAATTTGATATCTTATATATTTTAGAATATCTAGGCAATGACCTTCTTTCTGATTATGATAAATAGATCTTCTAAATTATTATCATTTCTTAAATTGAAGAATAATTCAGAATATCTGAAATCATTTTGAAATCTATCTTCTAATTTTTCATTTTATAATTTCATTTTTATATCTTTTTTTGATCTATAATTTTTGGAAATCAATAGGATTTATATATGATATCTTTATCTTCAAATTCCATTTGACTTTCATATATTTAAGAAAAAGAATATCTTATGAAATATGAGAAA